GTACAATTTGCTGTGTCTCTTCTGGGAAGTCCTCCGAGACAGCAGGATAATAAAGACTCTGTCACCACTAACTTGAAGCAGATTGTTTCTGGTGACTTATGAGCTGGAAAAAGACTTCAGAATTCATTATCAATTCCCTAAAGCAGTCTTTTCCTCAATTTTTAATGTATTAAGTGTAAACACATCCATTTAATACATTTGGTATTCTAAACATACACATTGCTAGATTTTTTAATTCAAGGACATGACCAATTAAAAGGAATTTCATTTGTATGATAGTAGAATAAAACCTAGTACGAAGTAGAATTAAAAACCATCAGAATTACAAAGCACAATTGTATAAGCCACTCACTAAACATAAAACAGTATCTGCTGTTACTTTACGATGTCACAGTTTTTAAAAAATTGCATTAGCAAATTGATTCAGTCAACCCCAAAACCAAACATGTTTGGTACATACAGTGATATGTTTTTATCTTAACCACTCTGCATAATGCTGCATAGCCAAATTTAAACAATAAGCATCAGAAACTACTTTTGACATTTATTATTTTGTTTCTGTACTATATTGTCTGCTCCAAGAAGGGTGGGTTGCAACTCAAACTAGCCAGAGTTATTATTCTGTCAATTCAGAAGAAAGCAATGTCTGCCACTCTAAAATGACAATGCTGTCTCACAGCTCTTTCTCTTCCTCCTTTCCTTTTTTTTTTTGTGCAGGAACTAATATTGCTGCTCTTGGTAGATATGCATTCCCAATAATTTGATTATTTTATAGCCCTTCACATCTACTTAAATCATACAAAAAAACAAACAAACAAACAAAAAATCTAGTCCAAGCACTGCTTAAGTCTACAGGCTCTGACTTCTGCTTCATGACTTGTGTTAAAACACTCAATCAGTCCACCTCATTCCTTGTGAACAGGAGTCCATATCAAAAAGCCCACTGTCACACACAGTACTAGCCAAGTACCTTGAAGGTGGCATCCAGAGCACTCAGCTGTTTGCAAAGCCTTTTTAACATTCTTAAATTATTATGACATTGAGAAGACTTTAATGCTTTAGCCTGTCATTTTAAATATCATTCAAGCATACATTTTAAATACAGAGACATCAGTACTTTATCTTTGTTCTCTTTTCCGACTGCAGACAGGCAAGAATCGCTGCGTCCATGATTTTGCCTGTGGAATAGAACTGACAAGTAATGTCCCAAAAGACCACTTACTGAGAGACTGCAACATGTAAGTGACGTTTTATCCTCATGCCTACATCTACATAACTGGACAAAGAGGTACAAAAAGAACGGCCACAGTTCTAGCTCTGATGTGAACTTCCACATACAAAGACAGGGTATGAGAATAATAAATGTGGTATAAGCAAACATTAAAAAAAACCCAGAATATATTTAAATCTAAAGAACGTTACTCTCAAATAAAAATTTCCTATAAAATGTGAAAAGACCCAAAGACATCATCGACAGAATCTAATAGGAAAAAAAAAGAAGTGAATGTAGATAGGATAAGAAAAATACAACTCAGTGACCCTGAAGGCCACTGGGGCATGGTTTGGAACCTGACACTTCTAAAGATTGATCTAACTTGCAGACACTTTACCTGTAACTGTTGTTTACAAGAGCACAATAAATTTCCATCAACAGCTTCTCTGCCCAGTTATAACTGAACAAAACAAATCAATTATTTCAGAGCTGAAAAAGATGGCACATAACTAGTTACACCAAAGTCTTATTGCACTTAACTACCCCAAGCTATCACTCACAGATTGTGCATCTGTGGAGGGTTGACCCAGGCTGGACACCAGGTGCCCACCAAAGCCTCTCTATCACTCCCCCTCCTCAGCTGGACAGGGGAGAGAAAATATAATGAAAGGCTCGTGGGTTGAGATAAGGACAGGAAGAGATCACTTACCAATTACCATCACGGGCAAAACAGACTCGACTTGGAGAAAATTAACTTAATTCATTGCCAATCAAATCAGGGTAGGGTAATGAGAAAATAAAACCAAATCTTAAAACACCTTCTCCCCACCCCTCCCTTCTTCCCCAGCTCAACGTCACTCCCAAATTCTCTACCTCCTTCCCCCAAGCGGCGCAGGGGGACGGGGAATGGGGGTTGTGGTCAGTTCATCACATATTGTCTCTGCCGCTCCTTCCTCCTCAGGGTTGGGACTCCTCACACGCTTTCCCTGCTCCAGCGTGGTCCTTCCCATGGGAGACAGTTCTCCATGAAATTCTCCAACATGTGTCCTTCCCATGGGCTGCAGTTCTTCACGAACTGCTCCAGCATGGGTCCCTTCCACGGGGTGCAGTCCTTTAGGAGCAGACTGCTCCAGCATGGGTCCCCCACAGGGTCACAAGTCCTGCCAGCGTGGGCTTCTCTCTCTCTGTAGGTCCACAGGTCCTGCCAGGAGCCTGCTCCAGCACGAGCCCTCCACGGGGTCACAGCCTCCTTCAGGCACCCACCTGCTCTGGTGTGGGGTCCTCCATGGGCTGCAGGTGGATACCTGCTCCACTGTTAACCTCCATGGGCTGCAGGGGGACAGCCTGCCTCACTATGGTCTTCACCACGGGCTGCAGGGGAATCTCTGCTCTGGCACCTGGAGCACCTCCTCCCCCTCCTTCACTGACCTTGGTGTCTGCAGGGCTGTTTCTCTCACAGATTCTCACTCCTTTCTCTGGCTGCAGTTGCTGTTGCGCAGCAACTTTCTCCCCTTCTTATTATGTTATCCCAGAGGCGCTACTACCGTCACTGATGGGCTTGGCCTTGGCCAGGAGTGGGTCCATCTTGGAGCCAGCTGGCATTGGCTCTATCGGACATAGGGGAAGCTTCTAGCCACACCTGCAGACCCCCCACTACCAAAACCTTGTCACGCAAACCCAATACAGCGTCACTCACAGATTGTTGTAAGCTTCAGGAGTATTTGGGGAACCAATTAAGGCAGCTTTGAAATCACCTTATTTTTGCTCACTAAGAAACAGCATATGCATTAGTTTTCAAGGTATGGGAATCGAATATTTAACACATTACAAGGATCCACTCTTGAAGCCATTTTAGGATTTAGCGATTTCTAGGGATTAAGTGTCAATCATTATCATTCTGGCACTAGGAAATCACAAGTAGCAATTTCAAAGGTGGCAACATGAATTATATTCAGTTGCCGAACGCCTGAGTTCTTGATTTTCCCTCTTAATTTGGAAGAGCCACCAGTAGCTCCCCTGATAGCTTGGAACCTTTAATTACTTATTACAAGCACGCAGGCCAAGCATTCTGGCAGGTATATGGCCATCACATGTGGTTACCACAGCAGAAAAAAAGATTGAAGAAGACTGAGATCAAAAAGGCCTGTAAACTTCTGCAAAAGCCAGTGGAGCAGTCTTAGAAGAAATTTAGGATGAAACCACTTCCAGTTTTACTTGGGATATAATGTTCTGTCAGGTTTTTCTCCTTATTGGCACGGATTTTGTAAATTAAAAGTTCTGATGAAAACAGAAAACAATGTTAGAGTATAGACCGTGCAACATTTCTGGTTTGTTTATGTGTCATTCATTGTAGTTTTCTTTTTCTATACCTTACGCCAAATAAACTTCGCTTTATTTACAGGAGCTAGAATTGGCAATTTATAGTAGTGGGAACAAGAGCACCAGAAAGTCCCTAAAAGAAGAAAACCAACTTCTAACCTTAGAAAGCTGGACACTGAGTAAAAGCCACAGAGTGACTCTAATAAAAGGGAACAGCAGCTGTATGTAAAACGGTGTTGCAAAGAAGGTGGAATGAGAAATATTTGGATATCCAAGGCTTCAGCTGAACATATTATAAACATATTTCCTTAATAAAGCAGTATTTAGGGTAGGCAAAGCTTAACCATTAATTTTGCAAGTAAAGAGAGAGATCCAGAACTGTGTCACAGATTAGCAGTTCCTTAACTGATTTCTGATGTTAGCATTTCAATCAATAGAAATTCTCAGCTTAAATGGCAGGCCCAGAACACATCAGCTGCTATTAGATGAGTACTGAGCTTGTGCTTTCCACACATGATTTTTACCCAGATCACGTTTGCTCCCTTTTGTTCGCAATACGGTAATCTCAATTAACAGGCATGTTTGTTATTTAATACATCATGTAACACAAAAATCAATACTTTGTCCTGCCCACAATTACTTTTGTTTGAGAGAATCTGACATGCATATGAGACTCTCAATTACATATCCTGTTTACATATTGAGGGGAACCTTTTGGATAGGAAATGCTTTCTATTCCATGCTCTTGAGAAAACAAAACAGAAGTCAGTAGTAATCTAGGAATTTAGGTAGCTATATTGGTACTGCAATTTAACACAATATGGTTCCTCACTTTGGCTTGCTCACAAATGGAATGCCAAAGGAAACTGCAGCTCATTCAGCAGCCTGAATAATGTATTTTGTAAGGCAAAATTTTAGAGCAGTCATTTATGTGTTTACTAAGCTTAAATTGCAAACAATGTGTGTCATGCTTTTCCACCAATGAAAATTTCAAACTCCAGAAAATATTTTTTCAGTTCAATTATTAAAACCAAATGCCTACTGATCCAAAACAAATCCACTAGCACCAATTTCAAATATTTTTCAGAAGGTAAGTTGTCCATATGTACAATGTAACTGATCATTGAAGCCACAATTACATTAAAAGCCATTAAAATTAATTTATATTGTTTACATACATCTTTTTATAACTTGAAAACACATTTCTTTATCTATAAGAATATAGATAGGTGAATAAGTTACTACACAACCACAGTTACTTCATTTTTGCACCAACTTAACACACAGTAGCTGCCATATGCAAGGATAGGCAACAGCAAAATAGGCAGGCAACCAACTACTGCAGAGTAGCTGTGGTGGGTAACTTGCACCTTGTTCCTTACTCCATTGTAACTTGCCTGTCTGCTCCCAAAAAGTAACCATGAAGATGGAAGTCACTGGACTGAATGTTGTATACAGGAGTACTTACCATGAATATAGAATGGTTCCCACGACTGATGCAAGTTTGCTGTTTTCTTGCTTTTGCTTTGCAAGCCCAAAGTCAGCTACAATAAAGAAAAAAAGATTCACATGTCAATAACCACCCTCTGCATGACAATCAGTGCTGGTTCACAACAGCAGAAAAGTTGGGGGAGGGTGGAAGGGAGGTTTGGGGGTTTTTTATCTTTTACATTTTGTAGTACTGAACCATACTATCTTCCTACCTCCACATTAATCAACAACTTACATTTGAATCAGGACCACCAGCTTTAAAAATATTATAAACACACCTCCGATGCTTTCAATCCAATACTCTGATTGGATTGAAAAAACCTGACCAGTTTCAGGTTTTTTAATATATTAATATATTCCGATCAACTGCATGAAAATGGTAAGTATCTGATAAGCAGTGATCTAATGCCCAGATTAATGGAAAAAATAATGTAATGAAGTCAGTAATTATTTTGCTTTCCTTCAAATTATGATAGCTGGGAAGGGCGGACTTTCTCAGAAATTTAATTTCAAAGGAATATGGGGGGTTTAATATCTGAACAGTTCATGTTCAAAGATTGCCTTAGGTAAGAAATAATGGTGAATCTCAGCCTTACCTTGTGACAAAAGCTTTAGATTTAGATGATCATGCAATTATGTTAATATAAGTACCTTTTGTGTAATTATCAGGTAGTCTTTCATAAAATTGTCACACACAGTCTTTAGAGAACATATTTTTAATCTAAGTTCCATGCAAACAGTTCAAGTTTATTTTTTTCAATTCAATACTCTACTGCTGCCTCAACACAACAATGCAGCTAAGATACATTGCACTTGACTAAATCCAAGCACAGAGAGCAAGAGAAAATCATTGTACTTGTTAAAGTCTGTTAATATATTTTGCATTGTAATACTACTTCAGAATTGGGAAGATTTGTGTGGTAAATAATATTGTTTAAAATATTTTAAGGCTCCTGTTCTACTTGGACAGAGCCCATAGCATTCCTATTCCAATTGCTTTTACAGTGAGATAGTTTATAAACATTTTAGTTCCAAATGGTTATACTCATCAAAAAAAGCTGCAGATCAGGTAAGAAAAGTTAGTTTCTGTTGGCTCTTGCTTAGTGCAAGCCTCAAGGGTCTGAAAAGGAGTATATCTCTTATTCAGAAAGGGCCTTTGATAAGAAAGCCAAGTCTAGGTACCCGGGCCACAGATCATTTTTCTTTGAACAAAATGTTCAAAGGACTAGCTCTGCAGGGCTTGGAAAATATAAGTAGAAAGAATGCTAAACTAATAGGATCACTGAGAAGCCTCCCTTTTGCCCTTGAGTTAAGACAGTCCTCAGGCAGTTCACTCCAGGGAATATTAATCCCAAAAGGACCAGAGGTTTTTGCAATGTTGATACTTCCCTGAATTAATTGGGGTGAATCATTCTAAATTCCCTCCTTTGGAATCCTTAACATAATATTCTATGAAGAAAGAGTATTAAGACATTACATCAATCAAGAAATTCAGTTCCTGGTGCTTGAAAGGTTTAGGAAAGGGAAGAGGAGAGCTGGATATCTCTGTCCTGGAAGAAGCAGTCTATTTTAATACAACATCAGTGATTATGTGGAAAAAAGAAAGCAAGGGAAAAATCAGCCAGATGGAGTAAATATATTCTCTTCCTTTTAGGCTCAGGTCCTCAGAAACAGAGGGAATAAACGCATTTCACAGGCAATAACTTTTTCCAAATTCTGCTAAACCGTCTTGACACCAGCAAGAAGCCTCTAAATACAACCGGTGCTGCCAGAGCTAAGGAATGTAAAGCACAGCACAATCAGCTTTACATTAAACATAAGTGCTTTTTCTTAGCTTTTTCAAGCCCATAATACAGAATTGAATGGAAAGCAACTGGCAAATGTTGAAATGCATCGAGCTAGTGAAATTGCTTCTTTTAATTTATTTAGGCATCTGTCTGCAGCTTATAAATTGGTCTACAACTTTTAATACTCCAGGATTCTTTATTTGGTACTTGATGCCAAAAGTTGCTACAATAACTAACAAACAAATGAAATAATTTCTGAGAACTGTGAGAGGCCTGCCTCCCCTACCATTAAATGAAGATATGACCAAATATAAAGATGACCCCAACTAAGTGGTATTCATTGTTTCAGCTGTGAACTGAGGCTTGATTAATGAGGACTCATTGCGACAATTTATATTTGGCAATGCCCTGCAACAGCTTCACACCATAGCAGTATGTCTTTTAGAAGCTGGAACGGAATTGTGAGAGCAAGGTAACTCAGTACTTGCTCAACTTCTTATGAACTTTACCCAAGTGTCAGCTTTTAGCACAGAGACCTACATAAATCTTTGACCTGATCTAGTGATTCTTATATTATGATCTTATTGGTCACTCCTGAAATTCAAAATCCTACTTACTAAAGAAAATATTCTTCCTGAGCCATCTCAATTTACTACAATTAATTCATCCAGTGGTATACCAAGCATCAAGACATAGCTCTTAAGTACAGGAATGGGCCCTTCCTCAGAAGCTAGACCTAACCAATTCACACATATCTGTGTGAATGCAGATGCATCTGGTCACAAATCTCACCAATTTCAGAATGAAATACAAAACTTACAGCTTCCAAATATTTTCTTACAGCTTCCAAATATTTTCTTACAGCTTCCATTCTCACACAAAAAAGCAACCTAACAGAAGTGTTGTGAGTACTTGCTGGAAGGAACTATATCAATGCTGACAATATCATGATAAATATCAGTAGAACAAAGGTGCCAGAGAAAAATAGAAAAGAAAAGCCCTTAGAGAATCATACCAAGAAGGCCAGTGAAAGCTTTGTAAACCAGTAAGTTAGATGAACCAAAACAAAGGCTGGTAAGAGCAAAGGCAAAGAGACAGCATAAAACAGGAGGAAGGGAGAGTGCAGGCAGGCCATCCAGCCACTGCCAATATCAGGATGCAGAAATGCATGCTGCATCAGTCCATCCAAACGGGAAATTATAAACCCATCTTAGATTCAGAGCAAGATTCTACGAGAAAGATGAGCTAGTAACCCTCTGCCATAAAAAAGACCAGTCCTGCCCCTCTTTTGCACTGTCCCTGGAAACCAGCTCATCTGGCACTTGGGTCTTGATGAGTTTAGGTCACCCTTTTTCTAGGCTAGTTTCATGCTGCTTTAATACATCCCCAGACCTGATACTGCAGTCCTAAAACCATTGAACTGTCTACCACTTCAGAGGATTCTTGTTGCCCTCTGTAATCTTGCAAGAATAAAATTGGCATTAGAGAGGCAACTCCCTCATCCTCCCAAAATAACAAACCCCCTCATTTTGACTGTTAGATTGTCCCACCTTCCTGAAGAGTAAAAATTACACCTTTTGGACTAAAAATAAAACAAAAAATCGTTATTTTGTAGTACAGCTGAAGAAAAAACAAAATGCTAGTAGGTGACACATTTCCATGAGGAAGTAGTCTTGCAGCTTTAATGGCACTAGTGGAAAGATCCATTTACCAAAAAGAGAGTGTCTGTTGCTGCAAAATAATGGTTGTTTTCACCAGCACATGTCATTTTGGAAATATGATACTTTTTCCAGTTTTAAACACTACTTTAAATTTTTCAGGTTCATGTGAATTATATGCATATCACCACTACAACTTATTGTACCATCCTAATACATGACAGTTTGTAAACTGAGGGGAATGGTAGGTAGGTACACCAATCTAGCAAACAAGATTTATAAAATAAAATTTCCATGGTAATAGTTTTTGGTGCTTTGTCTACTGTGCAACCTCAACTGACATAATCTCTTTACAGCTAATTTCTCTAACGGTTGGAAGCTTGACATCCTTCATTAAAGACGAAGATTATTTTTAAGTCTGTTCAGAGACAATAAAAAACTAACAAACTTTCACCATTAGATGGATCTTTATAAACTACGACCAAACAGGCAATTTCACCAGCAATTCATTACCAATAGTCATATCTCTCCACGGTATTATTATATTTGACTAGATTTTGTACTGTGATTGTAAACATTAAGCCTTGTGGGTTTTTTCCTCTGTACATCAGGAATCCAGAAAACTAAATGTTATTTTTTTGCTTACATTTGTTAAAAAATAGTCAACCAACCATGCAAGACAGTCCTCAAATAGGAAGAAAAATTAACACAAAATGATGCAGTCATAATCCTTTAGATTCTGAAACACCCTTCTTCGTTTGTTTTCACTTGTTTACATTGTGTTTAGGGTAGCAGAGTAAGTGATAATGAAGTAAGATTGTTTCAGAAAACATTAACATGCTGGGGAAGAGGGCATGAAGGGAAGAGAGAACTATGAAAAAATGAGTAGGCTGACTTGACTAGTATCTTAACCTCCTACAGAATGATCTCTTCAACTTTCATAATAGCTGAATTACAAAAACTTTCTAAATCTTAGCAGTCTCTTTAAATGAGCATTTTAGGTACGTGCAGTGTTTTTTTCTCTTTTTATTGACAGAAACTGTTTTTTCATTGCCATTTTATTTCCCAAAGATTTCACCTAGTAGATTGATCTTCTACAGTAAAAACAACAGGAAAATTTTCCAGATGCTACATCTTAACAACAGTGATCTCATATTTGCACATTTGTTGCCTTAATTTATATTTGAACCCTATTTGAAAATGCCATTAATTTTTCCTAAAATCAAATATGCACACAAAGACCAAAAGCAAAGCAAAAAAGGAGGATGAATGGAGTATCAAATTCACGACATATGTGAACTTCAGACCTACTCAGGTCAGATTTTCACTGTGTCCCCATTGAACAGTTTCTTCTTCTACCCTGAAAGGCTCAGGATGAGACAAAATCATTTTGTTTCTCTTCAGCAAGTTTGCAACTGTAATCAAGAAAGTTTATCAGCAACTTACTGAGTTACAGTGATCTGGAAGATAAAAATAGAACTTCAATTTTATTTTCCATAAAAGCATACCTAAAATCAAGATAATCTGCAATTTAATCAACAGTAGTACATACTTATTCTACTCTTTTCCATCAGTAGAATGGGAACAGAATTAATTTCTCATCATTCCCAAATACACCTTTCTAACTCTTCTATCATTCTCCTTTCTATGTGCTAATATCAATGCTTCATAAACGCAGCCTACTACCTGTCAGTTTTGTGAAGCTTGTAACTTCTGCACTAAGAACTTTAGCATTGATCCACATCTAGAACTGAGATTTGTGGAGAGAGATGCGATTGTGCTATTAATCCACCAATACTGTCCAGTACTACAAGCATTTCCTTGAATCTTGGTATGAAGGGTAGCAATTCTGATAATGAAGACTGGTTAAATGAGCCATATAATCTGCAAAAAACCTAGCACTGATCCAAGTGAATCTGAAAACTAACACACAACAGACACTTGTTATATCCACTTTACCTCACAGCCACTGCTTCTCTGGGCATGGCACAGAATGAGGAGGCAATGGGTCTTTTAAAAAGGGCACTCAACAAGCAAGTATTCTAAATTACAAAATTAACAGGTAGCTTTCTTCCAGCATCCAGCAACTATTTGAACTTTTCAAGTCTCATTTGCTTCACCGTTCTGACAGTTCATGGCTGCTTCCTATGATTAGAAGTGTATCAGACAGGTGAGTTGTCTCAAAACTAGTATTCTGCTGCTATATTAACCTAGGTTTCAGTTCCATACAGATCCTTTCTGCTACTATTGTATCATGTGTACTAAACATTAAACAGACCGTGCCACCAAAAAGAGCATGTGGAACCCTTCACAATTCTCCTTGATATCAGACCTGAAAGATGTCGAAGTGACTCCACACGGCCCCCTTTACCTTCAAGATCTAAACCTTACTGCAACTAGATGACACTGAGGAAAAGTGATGATATACAGTCTTCTGTTTTGTCCTACAAACAGATGCAGCTATGGAGCTCTAGACAGAAATATGTTGTGCTAGAAACAAAATGCAGCTGCAGTAAAAAATACCTGCAATAAGAGCAGATACACATTTTAAATTCGGAAAAATGTAACTTCTCACTGTCTCATATAAAAAGGCTAGGCAAATTAAACTGAAAGCCACAGATAATATTGGTTCAATGAATCTCTAAAACCCTATACAAAACAATTTTCATTCAGGCTGTGCCTAAAATCCAACTCTTTTTTTTGTGTCAGAAATTATAAATCAGACATTCAACCTGATCAGAGATGTCCAATTTCAGTAACACTTCTCTACCAATTTAGAAGGAGAAGTTTTATGAAATTGCAGATTAGCATCATTTAATATTTGTATTTTCATAGCATTTGTAGCGCAACCAATTACGATTAAATGCTGTACCAACATATAAGAGATGGTAGTTACGGTCCCCTTCCTATCAAATTTATGTCAGAGATGAAAAAGAACAAATGAGTAGGCTGGGCAGTTCCAGAGACTACATAACAATAGCATGCTTCAAGTTCTCTACAGTCAGAAACAGAGATCTTGTATCACCACTAGCCTGGCTAGGATCAGATTGTAAATGTCTGTTTCCATTTGCAACAACACACGACTTAAAAGAGCCTGAAAAAGCTTGGGATAACTCAGATTTAATGGACGTGTAAAAGATGTCACAGGAAATGCAAAGGAAGTTACATAATCTTCACATCAGAATGAAGCACCTCCTGAGCTTAGGACTTTCATTTGTATATTGCATAAGTTTAAAAACAAAACAATAAACAAAGACCTGGATAAGGATAGTGTCTGATCACACTCAATATTTAAGAAAAAGAGAATACAGTGAGAATATACAGATTAAAAAATTCTTCCTACTATTACCTCAGGTATTCTTTTTTCAGTAAAACCTATAGAGAGTGACATTCAGAGACCATTTCTAGAAAAGGCCTTTCATAGCTTAATCTTACATTGTGCCAGGTCGGTAGCAGAGTTCTTTGCCTGTATGAATTCTAGTTTTCAGCCACCTTTCACCATAGGTTCCTGCCTACCACGTTCTGCTGGAATTGTTCTACAAGGGCCACCTGTGTGTAGCAATTTCTCCATGACTTCAGGACAAGCAAGCATAGTTCTTTAGCAGGTTTATTTTTTGCTGTGCTGAGAGCAAGGTGGGAATGTCTCCCACACTATGGACTCCCTTCCTTTTCAACCAACGTAAACTCAGAAACTGTATGAGAGGTCTTCATGGGATTTGGAACATGAGTGGCTCAGTTCTCACATGCGTGGTGAGAAATGCCTACCTGTGACTCCCAGAACTTTCTTAAAGTAGTTCATTGTTGGGGCTGCTGCATAGCCATGCACAGTACAGAATGAAAGTCTTAGCCTACAGAAGCACTTTGCTCCAGTGTATTGCTCACTTTATTCTTTTTTTTTTAATCAAAATCTACCATGAGAGTCCAAAACTAAGGCACCTCTCTAAAGACAACATATTTGAATAACGTTTGTTACAGAGGAATAAGCTGTCTTTGTCAGCCTGCAGATTCTCATAGCGAAAGATTAACAAGAGTTACTATTTCCAGAAGGACTGATAGAGGAAAAGAAAAAAGAGCAGTATTATGAGATATACAAGCTTCTTTTATGAAGCAAAATAATTTGGACCATCAGAGGCCATATCTTAATGACGTAGTCACACAACACTGCTCCCACAGGAGTATTACTCCAGTTAGATCGAGACAAGATTTGCAGAGTTTTGAGATTTGAAAGACTCCAGAAAATTGAACACTCTCTCTTTAAGATGACTGTGCAGCTTGTAAACATGGAACTACAGTTCTGAGTAGATCTTAGAGCAGACCCTCTCCTTTTATAAAAGCTGACAGGTTAAATTCACTGCAGAGGCAGATTTAAGGTTTCTCAGTATTTGAGCATACGCTTCCACCTTCATCTGACATTTTGCATTAACTTTCATCTAGAACCACTTGAAATTCTCAGATGGATAGTACACTTATCCACAAATACTGTGAGATATAATTATCAAGATTGCAAATGCTGCAGTCTTTGGCATACATGGACTGTATGAGTTAGGCATAATACCACAGCATGCACCGATACAGTACATATTTACTATCACTGGAAAGAAAGTAAATTATTCTTAATTTCATTAAGGTTGTAAAACATCAGGCTCAGTAAAATTCAGAAGTAATAGATAAAACGTCTTCAGCACCCTCCGAAAATTCAATATACACCGGTACTAATTAAAGTACTAAATAAAGTAAGTGTTTGTTTAAATATTGCAATAGTTTTGAACCAATCACTGTAGAAATGGTCAAAGTAAGTTTCAGTTTTTCCAATTTTCCCCAGCTCCTGTAAATCTTTGTCAGAAATAGAAATGCTTTTCAAGGCCAATTTTGAGCTTGCATTTGAAAGTATATTTACACGTCTATGTATCTAGGTTGGACCAGAAGTAAGGCAAAGGTGTTAAATCAAGACAAGAGTGCCCCTCAGTGGCAGTATGTTGATATAAAATCCAACTGTATGATACTTTAAAATAATATTCTGAATATTTATTTTCATCACTCAGGGATAAATGTTCCATTAAATCATCTTATTTCAAAATTATATAATTACTAAGAATCAGAGCTTTTTAGCACATACAATTTAATAATGAATGAATTTAAGTATGTACATTATTAGGTATAAATATTTACTATAAAATAACAGTTGCTAAATATATTTGCCTATTGTAGCTCAGTGTTTTGTGGTTGGGTGTGTAAATATGTCTACACTTCCGTGTTATTTTTAAAGAAGAGAGATTGGGTTTTGCACCAAGACTTCTCACAACGATCCTGCAGTATTCAAATTGTTTATTTAGTTCTGTGTCATGAGTAGTAAGAAAGCATGCAGTAGTTCTTTGAGAACTTTAAAAACTACAGTATCTGAATTGCCTGTGGCTTGCTGTGTGTACCAGATTGTATTAATTCACTCAAAGAGTAAAACTTTGTCATACTTCGGAGTACTGTTCATACATATACTGCTTTCAAAGCCTATCCTGAAACCTGCCTAGGCTTCTTCCTCCACACTGTGGAGATTATAGAAGTATACGTCAAGAATATTCACTACTACAGGCTTAGACAAATAGTACCTCACTACAGCTGATCACTGGGAACAACTGATGGGTACTAAACAATTGCAACTGGAGTAGAACAGACAGCTGTTGTACTTTATACATTCATTAGCACTTGTTATCTAATCTGGTTATCTCGATATTCTTGCTGATTTAAATAAAAACACATTTTGAAGCATAACTATAGTTTAATTTTTTAGGGCTAAATCATCTCCTCCATCATATTTGACATACATAGTTGCAAAAAATAGTCATGGCTGATGACACCTGGTGGCAATGATCACAAAATCTGCATTAGCAATCATTTTACACAACAGTATAATAATGTACATATTATTCCAAGTATGGTGACCAATGCCCGGGAATCTGAAACCTTCTGAGAGTTTCAGTAAAGAAATTCTACTCAGATACATCATGGGAAATTCTCTTCAAGTAAAGTAATTCTACTTACTAATTGTAACTTTGTCTTTATCCCCCAGCATGACATTGTTTGGAGTGAGATCTCGATGAACGATCCTTTTGTCTTTATGCAAATAACGAAGCGCTAGACAAAGCTTAAAAACAAACAGAAAGAGCCTTACAAAGATTCTTAACTACAACCTCAATAAAGGCACAAAAAATTAAATTCATAATTGATATTAGTGCTTGACATAATAAGCATTACTTTGTCATTTATTAGCCTAACAAACATAAACAGTGCTACTAATTACATGCAGGAAAGTCCTGGTAACAAAAAAAATGGAGGCCCTTACTTGGATAAATATATGCCATATTCTTTCTTCTGTAAACTGTTGTTGCTTTTGCTTCAAAGAGTGAAAGTATTCTCCCAATGGCACTCCCTCTATGAGCTCCATGACTATGTACAACCTATCATCTACATAAAAGAAAATGAATTAGTAGAACATTACATTTATACAGAAGGCATTTGAAAATAGAGTATCTGAGGTTAAAATATATTTTACAAGCCTTTATTTTTTACTTTTTAAAAATTTATTTGTACAGACAAATACATTTTAATCGTAGTTCTACTCCTTGTTATTCTATTTTTTCCACAATTTATATCACAGCAACTATAAGGAATTCACTGCCTGATAATCACTCAGTGGGTAGGTGTATGTAGCTAACTCTTTATAAGAAAGAAAATTAAGGCAATATGGCTGAGCAATCTATATCATTCATTCTATAGTCACTATAGCTTTTCTCCCCACTTAGCGTTCCAGTTGTAAATGTTGGATCCTTAACTCTATAGGATGAGAATGATGCTTTCTACATGTTTACATTGCGTCTAGTTTTACTGATATATAAACAAATATAAATATTATTTCTCACCATTTTTTCCATTTTAAAGAAATATAAGCCTGTCTGAACTGTAACAGTTCTTGAAGAAAATATTACCATTTATTGCTCAAATTTGATGCATTCCTTCCAAGCTGTAAGTGCTTTTATTATGTATTTCTATTTCTTCATTATGTACAATGTGGTAATTCTCTGCATTTATACTTACTTTCCAAGAATGTTCTATAATACCGTACAACATTTGGATGACAAAGCTACAATGAGGAAAGAAATTTGGGTGTTTAGAATAGTTAAACTGATGGCACAGTATTTATAATGTTTAGCTACACATTGGAAGGAAGGATTCCACAAGGATTCCACAAACTTGCTTACGAACTGCAGTGCAGTAGACCTTCACTGCTACCCCAAACACAGAGAAGTGTTGCACATTACTAGAGCAACCAGGAGGAAAATACAGCACGATTCCTATCCACTCTGCCCTTAATAATTGAAAGAAAGTAAATGAAGTTTGAAGATGGGCAATTATACCTGCATCGAAGTATTGGCTTTCTTAGCCTAAGAACACTAATGATCAGTCTGGTTTTTAAATTTTCAACTACAAAAAAAGACTATCTTCTTACTGTGTTTTAAACCCAAAAATTCATTAAACGGAACTCATGAGTTTTCTATCACAATCTTAACTTACAGAATCCCTGAAAAAAGGTCAAATACTGCCAACACAGAATGTAAGAATCTTTACTATCAAGCATTTGCACTGCTGCTAACACTATAGGTAAGAAGGTTTTCAATACTGGCAGCATTCAGGTAAAAGGGGCCAATATTGTACTGATCAGACAAAAATAGTAACCGCACTGCAAGCCCTGCTATATGAGAACTCACAGTTAATAATGCTAACAGCAGAATGCCCATACTAAAGTCCAGGAGACATACCTGCTCTTTGATGATGGTTAATTCAGAGACAATATTTTTTACACTGCTGTCTCTGTCTTTTTTGTCCTTTCCGAATGCTGGATTGTGTAAATTGACTTCTTTCATTGCCAGGAGATTTTGTCCATTATGTTTTCTAACCTATGAAAAAGATAAAACCCTTTTAAAATTAATATAGGTTGGGGATAGAAAGGATATTATTATAGCTATCAGATTAGTTATCAGAGTCCAAATCTGTCTCACAAAAGCTAGAATCATAGCTTTTTCTGTGTATGATGTGATTAGCCAAAAGAACTGGAGCCCCACAATACAGGTTAGCAGTACACTGCTGAACTTGCTGCAGTGTTTGAAGTAACACTTGTGCCCAGTGTTGCTTTTCAGATAAAATAAGCTCAAATTTCTGTGGTTTTACACAGATTTGTTAGCCTTTGCGATAGACAGAAATGCTGTTTATGGAAAGGAATTAAAAGAAAGTAAAATTAGGAAAACTAAGAGATACACTGGTCAATCTTATAAATACAAGAGGGGACAAACAAAATCACAATAAATACTAATAACAATCCACAAAGGCCCTTTCGGACCTGCATTCCCCTACTGAAATTCAAAGGACGGTAGTGCCTAAAATAGGTATTAGATACCCTCTTCATGAAGTCTCCCCTCACACCTGTAAATTAATATCAAAAGGGAAGTTTACCTTATATACACTTCCAAAAGCTCCACTGCCAAGGTGCTCTAAAATTGCATAATTGCCTATATGTTTTGTAGGTGCCTTACTCTGATTCATGCTCTCAATACTTTCAGCAATTTGCTTCAATTCATCCTCCTGGTTATAAATTAAATGACAAGTAAATAAATATAAAATATTTCATGCCTTTCTTGTGCTAAGAATGTGCAAAGAATACAGCTTCTTAAAGCTATGAAGGTTTTTACTTACCTTTAATAAATTTAGCTTTGATACCAACTCTTCATAAGCAGTGATATCACGCACATAATGTCCAATATCAATGAAGATTTCAAACAAGTCAGTAGGGAAAAGTCTACAAAGGTTGAAATTTTGATTAAATTTTAGAAACAGTGTACACAGTAGCTATTAATCTACAGCAGAGACTTTTCAACGTTTATTGTTACAACTTACTTTAGAACCTTCTAAATAATCCACTTATTTTTTACTAATCTATTTAGATATTAACCCTCTAACATTAGGAGGGTTACGTAGGAGTTAAAGGACCTTTCAAAAGTCAGACTTCAGCCTCCATGGGTTGGGTATTAATATAAATGCCAGTTCTCCAAACAAGTATAAGCCTCTTTAAAGTCAATGCACCTCCTGAGTTTCCAGTCATTTTCCTATTTTTTCTTATAATACTTTATATTATGCTTGTCGTCACTTTATCTGAGTTCCTTCTTGTAATGCATTAAGTGACAGGATTAACATTTGTCTGCATTTAAAGACTCAGTACACCCCTCTTGGAATTTTTGTCCAAGAAGTCTAGTATAAAAGATGAAAAGGACTGAGAAAAGCAAAAACTAACAGATAGTAGGCAATATTTGATTAGTGACATGCTTAACTGAAGGTTTCTTTCTTTTTAAAGTTCTGGCTGAAGTAGAAATACAGAATATTAAGGCATTTGGCAAAATATGAGAGACAGCAAATCCATCCAGATTTGTCACTTTAAAAACTTGACATCAACCAGAAACATTCATTACAAACTGTAATGACAAAGTACAAAATCCACTTTTTTAAAAGTGGAAATAACACAAAAGTTATATTTAGAATTCTAGAAATTTATGATACAGAATAAGATCATACAGAAACACTACTGACAGGCAGACCTCCTAGGCAGTATAATTACTACCCCAATCCCACAAATCAAACTGTTAGGTTTTACATGGCCTTTGTAGCCAACCTGGTGAAACTGTCATCTTACTAGTAAAAATGGGTAATTGATGAAATTATCCTTATTGATCCAAACCTTTCAGCAACACTTCTAAGTAAACCAGCTTGATGCAAATTCATTCCCATGTGGAGAGCTCAGAGAAAAAACTTACTGCTCCCAGTTACTTGCTACTATCCAGGGCTGTAACTTGCATCTGCTAATCTTCAGGATAAAAGTATGGTTTATCTCCAACAGTATTAAATCTGTCCTCAACATATTTAAAATGTTGATTCTCGGGGGAGGAAGGAGCCCCTCAGAGCCAGATTCTCTGGCATGCATGCAGTCAAAGTCCCCACACTGAAAATATAAATCTTGCAGGTTGGCACTGACGCAGTGCAGGAATGGCTATTCGTAGTTGTGGACAGGACAGAAGTTGCCCATTACTATTTCTTCTTTTGAAAATAAACGACATTTTAAAAACCTGTCTTTCTGATTGGAGTGAAGACTTTTGAAAGCTATCCTAAGGGAGTTTCTCAAAACATTTTGTTAACATACCTTTTAAAGATATGTCGATTTCTTTCCATGCTGAAGAGAAATCTCAGGGCTCTGAAAGCATAACACTACAACAGGAAAAATACTTAAGTGAATGACCAATTTATACACAAATGGAAAAGCCACTGATAAACGTCAAGGATTCCCCTTGACTTTACACATCGGAAAACTTTGTACTTAAATGACTACATCGATTACATTATTAACCTGATAATGAAGAAAGTAAAAATATATTAAGTTCCTCCTGTATTTTAGAAGTAGACAGGGCCACTTAGGGAAAAAAAAGTAAAAAAAAGAAGCGGGTGACTATAGCTATAGTAGACACTGAGGAACATTTAAGTCTTAATCATCTCTTTTTATTTGCAGATAGCTCAAGACTTGAGACCTGTTCTCTTCTCCAATGTTGAAAAAGGTAAATGTAATAAGTGGTTTTGTAACGATGCAGTAGAAACAGCATTTTGCATTTTTTCTGAAAAATGCAGTGTAGAACACCATAAGTTCTAACAGAGAACAAAAAAGAAAAGTGAGAAAGAGAGAATGGTCAACTTTTTTTTTTAAATACTAAGTTCATCATATTTACAGAGATCTTTATGTACCTCAGTTTCTATCTTTGGTTTTGATATGATCTCTACTGAAGAAAGTTTATTTTTAAAACAGCCACTGGCAGGTAGTTGATATGTATGCTTTTATGCAACTCATCTTTAATTCCATTTATCAAGAGTCAATAACATGGCATATATGTGGCTGACCAAACAAAGATGACTACATAAAGTAAGCCAAAGGGAAAATAAGGTATTGATATCTGAAACACTGCAAATAATAAATGTCTTTAACATAATTTAGAATTACTTTATTGCATCAGTGACTAAAACACTAGTGTGTGATAACCCCTATTTAGACACTGGTAACTTGTGTCTTAGTGATTTAATCCCCATGTTAAAACCAAATCTTTCAATATATAGACAATGCATTAAATGAAGAAAGTAAAGGCCAAATGCTACTTTTGAAGGAAGCAGGATACTTGAAATTTCACAGAAAAGGAACATATGTTAATGCTGCTAAGAAGCTGTCTCTTTTACAGACAATGTTTCTTCTTAGTCCAAAGTAAACGTCCCATCACAGGAGAAGGATGGCATGTTAACATTCCATTGAGAATCACAGTCACAACTTAGCTGTACAAAATAACCCTGAGCAGCTGGGCCATAGTTGCTACCTTGAAAGTTTTTCATTTTAGAGACAATACATAGACCTTACTGTAGAAAGCCCATCAGTGAAGGGACATGATAATAGATTAATAATGAGATAAATAGATATTTTAAATGGCAATAATATTTGTCTTTCTCACACTAGTATTGTGAGATTAATATTTAACATTTGTGATATGCTTCAGCTAAGGCATGATGATTTTTACATATGGTATGTATGCAGAATAAATGACTGATATCACTGCCACCCTTGAACTAATGGAGTAAGATCACTAAGGTAGTACGGTAGAAAGAAGCTGAAAATTTAAGCATTGAAACCACAGACAATAGAGCAGTAAAGAAACCAGACCAGTATTGCAAGAATTCTATGAAAAATGCCTATGAAATTCAAAAAGGGTATTCCAATAGTTGCAACTGTATTGCACAGCAGTAACAATGATAAAGGCAATACAGATAGTGTGAGAATCTGAACAAGGTTTCATAAAAAAATGTATTTCTTAATGTTTGCCTGAAACAAATTTAGTGTTCATATATGATCATTAACTCCATTACTAATTCACATGGCTTCATGTTTAACACAACTACAGTTGCTTAGTATCTCTTGTGAGTTATTTCCAACACATTCTGCTGAAATCTAAAAATCTCAGTGGGCATAAATTAAGTTCTTTACAGTTGTATGAGGCAACTGTACTGAGCATATGCTCCAGTTTATTAGACTTCATGTTAGTTTCATATACCCTCTAGGAATATTTTTATTTATCTCACCCTTAAACTGATCTAACTGAAGTGCCCTATAAAACCTTGTTGCAGAAGAAAGGTACCTACTGCACTGAATCTGCACTCCAACCCTAATCTAGAACTGTGATGAGAAAGATGACACTACATTTAATTCCCTTTTTTTGTGGAAATGCCTTCCCTCGTTATCCAGGCATGTCTATCTGATTAGATAGTTGAGTAGCTACGTAGCCATGTTAATGTAGGGCTATGCCAAAACAAAGACAGGATCCTGACTGCATTCACGTGTGCCAAGGACCTCCTCACACTTGCCCACAGAAGAGCAACTGGAGCAGCAGCAGTTGTGTTCATCCCCAAACCCCAGACCACGACTTTCCTATAGCTTAGAGAGACACCAATACCATTTCACAGGGCTGGAGAAGAGCTATAGATAATTAGTTACTACTGATAACTTTTAGCCTAAGTTGACTCAAACCAGTACATTTATGGGGGTATTGAGATGCAAAACCAAGAGCCATTCTACGCTTATTAGCTCTATATTTATCCTACATTTGAATTTGCTCTACTTCATGTGATGTTTTCCTATATTTTATTTAACAGCCACAGTAAGATGCTCCAGAAAGAAACAGATAGTACAGTATCAAATCTACAGTGAGTTTCAGTGAATAACAAGGCACTAAAAAGAAGATCCGATGCTGGGCAGCCTGAAAGAGTGGAGGAGAGATTATCGCAAAAAAAATACTCACTTTCCTTTACACTATATGTGGTGTCAGAAACAAAGTTGATCAGAACACCAGAAATTGAGTAACTATTTAACTTTTAGTTCCTGGGCCATTTGTTATTCCTCGTTTTGTTTTGCTGGGGGTTTTTTCCCCTTTGAGTAAGATTTTTTTACTGCACTTTAAAATAAACTTTAAAATTATAAAAAATTCTCAGGGACTGTTTGGGGCTTTCAATGTGCAATAATAATAAAGGGAGTTACCTGTAATAAATTAGCTTTTTCAGCATTCCTTTCTTTGTTTGGTAAAATCAGCTTTGCTATTATATATATTCCATTTGCCTGGAAACAGAGAAAGGTCAATATTAACAGCACTCCTTTGCATAGAAACCACAAATAAAAACCAATGTTACTTCAGATAAATCAGAAGCTAATACCAATTGACAAGTTCTCAAGATCCTACTGCACATGTAAATTATAAGCTCAAATGACTTAAATGTACATAAGAATGAAATCATCGTTAACATTTAAACTGATACTGCGAAGAGAGCTTACGAACAGATAATGAAGCAACGCTTCTATCTCTAGAGGTGTAGGAAATTGCAGCAACAGATCTCCCGTCACCATGTGGATATTTTGAACTGTCAGGAACCAAAAATCCAGTCACAATAAATATAATCTGGAGAAACACCAGAAGGAGTAGTCTGAGGAGTATGTCTGAGTCTTCAGTAGGATTTTGTGAAAACCATACTGTATTTCAGCTTCCATTTTCATGTAACCATACTTGTGTCCTCCAGTAATGTATCTATCGTGTTGGTTTGATAGATGGGCACTGCTAGATTTAGTTACAGTACTGCTCTCAGTTACTTGACAAGCTCCCTGTTGGAGACTACTCTCCTCTCTAGCAGAGTGGAAGGGAATATGTGTCAGCTCTGCAGAGGCTCTGCTGCAGTTCCTGACATGTTTTTTTAAACCGTTCATGAAGGTAGAGTGAGCTAAGTTTTAGGCTGTGCAGTAGAGCCATTGAGTTATAAACACATTCTGGCCTGCTACCAGAACTGCCGCAGACAGCTATCGAGGCTGGAAGTTGAGACAAGGAGACAGGACGGACAGGTAGAGGGCAGCTACAGCAGAATTAAATGGTTCTCAACTGCCTGAACCAAGAGTTCTTTGCTACTGAATGAGATAAACCTTTAGAGGTCACTTAGCTTGACTTTCTCAGCGCATAACTGAAAGAGCTGCAAATCTTCTTCCTCTATCTGTTTTTAACCTAAGTGAGTTCCTTCATCTTGTTCACCATGCAACTCTCAGTTATATTAGCACAGAGAAAGAAGCAGGATTTAAAATGAAAGAGGCTGTTGTAGGGTGGAACTCCCGTTGAAATGAACATGCTTGAAGCTATGTCCTGATCTGAAACGGGGACATTGGCTGGTGTTTTGACAAAGGGCGAGGTCATTGTCTTTTAACAGGATGAGTGGGGGAAGAAGTTAAGCTTGAACCTGCACAGCGTCCCATCAATTTTTAAGCAACTTACTGACACCACAGTTATCATACACTGCTAGAGCAATGCAGAAAAACTCTATGTTAAAATCAGCCTTTTATTTCCCAAGTCCAAGACGAGTTACACTGTTTTCAAAATACATCCAATTTAAATAAGTGATATTTTATTTTGATAAAACCAGATTCAGACTAAAACGTATGTAGTTATATTGTTCAGATAAAATGTTGTCTAAATCAGTATGGTTTATTGGCAATTTTAGTGCTTAATATACGTAGAAATTTTTTTTTTCTAGACTTACTTCCACTCCTTTCCTCTTAACCAATAGTTTTGAAACATACATGAACTTCTTTCCCAGCCATATTTAAGGCTCTTTGTTCTCTCGAATTCCTCTAGGAACACCTCTAGTTGGGTTTTAAAGCTAACTTGACGGCTTTGATCGCTGACAACATTTAGAGTATAAGAGCCAGCTACCGCTTTTAGCTAGTATTAACGTCCTAAATATTTGTGTCTTTGACTATGTCTGGAATACATACCAGGGATTTTAAGAATGGTTTTCAGAACCATAGATTCTAGCTGATTTAAATATTACATTTTAAAATGCAGTTTAGAAACACAACCCTGGGGATGGAATGCCAGGAAGTTATCTCAGAAATACCAAACTCTGAGGAAAAGAGAAATTGTTTGTGAAATAACAACGCACCAATATTAAGCTGCACAGAGTTTGTTTTAATAAACTTCATGAAATTCAGAATTTGTATTTCTCAGTTAATTCTGTGATTACCCTTATTTATTATCCTATTTTGAATATGGCAAAAGCATGGCAAGCGATGCCAACCAAAAGGAACCCTGTCTGAATAAAGCTGTTTATTCTCCCAGACAACCACATGCATATGTTGATATCTCTGTGTATATGTCTCTGTGTGTAAATATATAAAGAAACAAAGATACTAAAGTTACATAACGGCATATTTTCCAATCCCTTTCAAATGCATTTTGTTTGTTAATTGAATGATAGTGACAAATAACAACAATTAAGTTAAATTATAAACTATAATGCCTTACTTAACTGAATAAAGTCTTCCTACCTGTACTACCTGGTAAGCGTTAGTCTCATTGAGCATCAGTTCAGTAATTGCAGCACAACAAGCTAGAATAAAAATTCAGATGTAACATTTACGGCCAGATTCATAAAGATATTCAGATAGCGTGGTGGGTTAACCTTAGCTAAGGGCCAAATACCCATCCAGCTGCTCCTTCACTCCCCTCCTTAACAGGACAGAGAGAGAAAATAGGATGGAAAAGCTCGTGGGTCAAGATAAAGACAGGAAGGTCGCTTACCAGTTACATCACAGGCAAAACAGACTTGACTTGGGGAAAAATAATTTAATTTATTGCCAATTAAAATAGATTTTGATAGCAAAAAAAACAAAGACAAAAAATTAAAAGAACACCTTCCCCCCACACCATCCTCTTTTTTCCCCCCAGACTCATCTTCACTCCTTCACTCCCAACCACTTTACCCTCTCCCCCTGCAGCGCTGGAGGGTAGTGGATGAGGGTTACAGTCAGTACATAACAGTTCCACTCTGCTGCTCCTTTCTACTTCTGCCCTGCTCCAGCATGGGTCCTATCCACACACTGCAGCATGAATACCTGCTCCACCGAGGTCTCTCCCATGGGCTGCAGGGGAATCTCTGCTCTAGTGCCTAAAGCACCTCCTCCCTCTCCTTCTTCTCTGACTTTGGTGTTTGCACTGCTGTTTCTCATCCCTTTATTTTTTTTTCTTCTCCTCCTCTGCTTACCCAGCATTTTTGCCCTTTCTTAACAATGTTTTCACAGATGCACAACGAGCTTCGCTGATGGGCTGAGCTTTAGCAAGCAGTGGGTCTGTTGTGAAGCCAGCTGGAACCAGCTGTGTCCAGCACAGGGCAAATCCTTACCTCTTCCCACAGAGGCCACCTCTGCAGGCCCCCTGCTAACAAAACCTTGCCGCCCACACCCAATACAGAAGGCTAAAACTGAAAACAAATACTCAGTCAGAACTAAAAAATACCTCTGTATGTTCAGTGCTTGCTCTTTCTTAGGAGTCCTTAAGGAAGGCAGAAGTAACCCGGCAATATGCTCCACACTGGCAATACTTTTGGTACTGCAATTTATTTCACATTACCAGCTCTTCAGAGATAACATTCATGATGAAGTATTCAAAAACACTTACGTATTATGTTACAGCTTTCAGGAAGATACTGCAAAGGCTCATGTAATCCTAGTAAGGATATTTTGCATTGTCCTTCTATAGTGACTGGAAAAAGACATGATCCTCCAGGAGGCATTTCAGAATGGACAGTTGACGTCTTATTGAGACATCTCCTCTAAAAGGGATTCTCTCCATAACTACTGAGGAATTCTCGCCTGACTGGTAATCTTTAAAATACTACTTTGAAAGAGTTCCATCATAACCACTTCATGATTGATCTACCATAGTAAATTTGAATGGAGGGAAAAAATATGATCAAATAAAAATAATCTCAGTCTAAAAACAAAAGTAAAAAAAAATGAGATGTTTTTACAGGTGGAAGAAATATATAAGATTCCCATGTACATAATACTTTAAACCTTTGCTTCTTTCTAAAAAAGTGTGCTTTTTGAAAATATGTACTGGTATTGCACATTTAGAAATAAACACAGCTGACTTGGTGCTCCCACTCCCTAAAGCAGGTATAAAAGTTTACAATTTCAATTTTGAAATATTTTTAATCCCTTTACGCAAGCATAAGTAAACACATAACAGAGGATTAGGCTTTATAAACCTGCCTGCTTGAAGTGAGAAAGTATTTTCTTGCATCTCATCAGGACTCAAATCATCTGACAAATGAAGATGTCGGATTCTCCCTGCTGCGTTCGCACTAGATAAACTCCCAATTGAAGAGCGATCAGAAACAAGATTTCTCTCCCTGAAAAACAATAAAATCAAATTACAGTGTAAAAAAATGGCTTAACATATCTTTGTTAACCATTTCTGATGCTCTGAAGATTTGTATGTTTTTCACTAAATTAGCTAATACACTTTGAAAAAGCAAACAAGCCTTTAAACAGAAAATTCCTTTACCACATTCATCAATTATATTCACAATTCTAGCTCACCAAATAGATGTATGATTAATAGGGAAACTAAGTAGACAGCAATGACCTATTTATAATCTATTCATTATTTAGTTTATACACTGAAAATATGAAAAACACCTTAAGATAACAATGAAATATTGTGCTGGTTTGGGCTGGGGTAGAGTTAATTTTCTTCATAGTAGCTAGTATGGAGCTATGTTTTGGATTTGTGCTGGAAACAGTGTTGGTTACACAGGGACATTTTAGTTATTGCTGAGCAGTGCTTACAGAGAGCCAAGGCCTTTTCTGCTTCTCACACCACCCCACCAGCAAGTAGGCTGGGGGTGCACAAGAAGCTGAGAGGGGGGGACAACAAGGTGGGACAGCTGACCCCAACTGACCAAAGGGATATTCCATATCATATGACGTCATGCTCAGCATATAAGGCTGGGTGAAGAGGAAGGAAGGGGGGATGTTTGGAGTGGTGGTGTTTGTCTTCCCAAGTAACCGTTACGCATGATGGAGCCCTGCTTTCCTGGAGATGGCTGAACCACCTGCCTGCTGATGGGAAGCAGTGAATGAATTCTTTGTTTTGCTTTGCTTGCATGCACGGCTTTTGCTTTCCCTATTAAACTGTCTTTATCTCAACCCACGAGTTTTCTCACTTTTATTCTTCTGATTCTCATCCCCATCCCACCAGAGGGGGAGTGAGCGAGCGGCTGTGTGGTGCTTAGTTGCCGGCTCTGGTTAAACCATGACAAATATGCAGAGCTGAAAAAAAATACTGCTTATTCATTATGTTCTAAATAGCCTTTTAATTCCTGCAGACATCACATACAGCTGAACAAAACAAAGATGCTATTTGATAAAACAGAGCTTGATCAAATATATCTTAAAATATGAAACAGTCTCATATAATTCTCACAATGTTGAGGTCTGAAAACCTACCCCTGTAAGATATGAAGGAGCTGCTTGATTCCACCCCAAATTCGGATTTCCACACTAGTCTCAGGATCTTCACAAAGCTGTACCAGAATCCAAACTATACTCCATAGAAGTTTGATATGATCAGAATGGAGTAAACTGAGCAAGACTGGAACTCCTTCATACATTTTTACTTGCTCTTTGACTTGTGACTCTGCACAGAGAAGACGTAGCAACTCTGCTGTGAGCCTATAAAAAAAATCAGCAAGAAATTTTAACAATAACTCCATCATTACTTTGTATTGTCAGTTAGTAAAGGGAAAAAAAACACAGCAAATGTTTAAGAAAGAACAGAGACCTCCTATAAAAAAAGAAATTAAAGAAAACTGCTTAAAGTCACTGTAAACTGGTTAAAGTCACTGTTTAAAAAAAAAGGAGGAGGTCCATATTCGCACAAAGGATGAAATTATATTCACATTGAGTTTGACTGTCAGCATAGGCAGCCAAGCATACACAGCCAGGATGGAGGTGGCCAGGTGGACTGCAGTCATCCGTGGCACTACCTTCTTGTTTAATGGCATTAGTACTACAAGTAGCACTGACTGCATGAACTTGTAAAGTCCAACTATGGAATCAGAATAACTCCACAAATAATCGTGATTCTTCTCCAGTATGGTTTGAATATTATGTTTACAAAAGGGATTGGATATCTCATTTAAAAGGTTTATACAAGATTTTCACTAACTTCACTCCAATTAAGGTAGACTTTCTATAGAAAATATGGTTAAGGATTTCCATTTCCACTTGAGGCAAAAAAGCTGCATGTGTGTTTGACGAAACATATGAATTCAGATTCATATCTGAATTTAAAATTATTCTTAACTAACACTGAACTTCATCAGCTTCCCGTCTACATTCAAATTCCAGTTTTTATAACAAACTTTTGGTTTCTGTATAATCTAAATAATCGCAAACCCAGAAACTAAATAAAACCTTTTGGCATATTCAATTTCTTTATGTTTAGTCATATGCAAAATAATTTACACATGTGAAATAATTAAGCATGAAATTTTAAAAATGTCTTCAGAATTTTAAATGTGGCTAAGTGACATATCATCAAATTTGAGAGTCTTCTGGTTTCTTACTGAAATGCAGATATACTATGCTCAACTAGCAGGCTTAGCTGGAATGAAAGGACATTTAAAGAACTGAAGAAATCTTTATGATTTTCTGATTTAAGGGATATGGGGTCTCACCCAGCCTCTGGCATAAACTACAACAGCTATATTTCTTGCAATTTTTTACTAGTTTATATTGGGCATCCCAGGAGCTGTGAGAGTTCAGTGTGCTTTCCATCTAACCACTCAGGTTTGCCAGAAGCAAAGAGGAGATGCACCAAGAAAAGCGATTGCTATCACTTTATGGTAACATTGCAAATTATTTGCACCTCACTATAGGCCATCAGTGGAGAGAGAGGAGACAGCTTATAACAAAACTACTAGAAAAGATTTTCCTATATCAATATCTGACTGAAAATACATAGGTATCAGAACTTTACCTTAAGTATATTAAAGTGGAACATTAGCTAATTCCTCTAAATAAACATGTCCCTAAACGAAAAAGTCAAAATACATTTTAATACAGTTAATCTACAAGCGAAGTCTCACCTTTTAGAAAGCAAATCGTATTCATGCAATATCACCAGCAAGTTCTCAACAATGGTGAGCTCACTTATCTTCTCCCTACATTCTGGACTACAAATCGATTATTCCTGGCATTTCTATCAAATTAAATTATGTGAAAAAAACATATTTCTCTTTAGCCTCCCTCCTTATACATTTGACTAATTATTTTTTTCTCAAGTCTTAAGTAATAATATATTATGCACACAAGAATTTAAAGCCACAAAAATATGCTGGCTCAAGAGTGACACTGCAACAATTTCCAATTTTCCCAGTACAAAACCAGTAAATGTGAATGCATAAAAGTAAAGACACAAATGTATTTCATTTGTTTCATACTAGAAATTAAGCAAATTAGGTACATTTTTAGAATCAAATCAACTTCCATGAATATTTGTAATATACTCCAAACACTTTATTGCCCAGCCCAAATGTAACACATTTAATTTTGTGAAGAAAGTTAAATGGAAGTTGAAAATGTATGTATAACATAATTCAAATTAATACTGATATTAAAAAAAATTAAACTGAAATAGAATGAAAGAAATTTGGGAAAAGAGAAAATCCAGAGAAATCTTAGTAAATAAATTTCTACTGATCTCAAGGAATTGTATCTATTCTCTTCAGTTTTGTAATTTTCCTTATAATTTTTCATTTAAAAGATAAAATTCTTATACAAGTCTGGAAGTCAGCAGAACAATAATGCAGAAGCAGCAGCTATTCTTCTATAAAACTATTAAGGATGAAAGATGCTATATCTTCCTTTTCTTTTTTTTCCCTGCACACCGGGGAAAAAAAGTCTTATCTTTATTTAAAATGGTCATTAGTGAAGGGGGGATACATATACATGGATTTAAGTTTACTACTCTGAACAATATTCTTGCTGGTTATTGTGAGGCACTGTTATATTAAGCTCAGCACAAAAGATTTTTATATGCAGGAAGTCAGTAAGAATTACAGAATCCTGCATAGGGATTGCAAAGAGAGATTCTATGACTCCAGTCTTGCAAAGTTCTCCAAATGAGCAAGAAGTCTGCTGCAAGGACCAAAGTTTCTACATAGTTTCTACTGCTTCAATATAAAATTAAGCACACTTCATAGACTTTCACAGAACAAGGCCTTATTCTGAAAAAAAGGTCTTCCTCATAAACAGCGGTTTTAATATTGTATTAAGAGAAAACATTAAAATGATTATTGTGAACTACAGCACATTAAGTTGAACCTACCTTTCTACTAGGCTAGTTAGAGCAAGGAGGGCACCCAAAAGCACATTGCTGTCTCTGGCAGATAACAAATTTACTAAGGTCTGGAAAATGAAACATGAAACAAGATAAATAAATATAAATTATATTCTTTCATTTTACGACTCAAACACGTACATTTATTGAAAAGTCAAAATTAAGATACCAAATCCTTACACAATACACTAAAAGTCTTAGGCACATTTAAAGTACAGTTTAAGTACACTTAAATATACACCCAGTCTTAGGGCAAGCAAGGATGCTTCTTCTCAAAATGCAATTAGCATCTCTCTTGATTGCTAAAGCATCTGTCCAACTTAATATACCATTGTAAAAATCTGTTCCTGTGTAAAACACTTCAGAACTCTAAATCAAGGCCTCCTGAAGCAAAAAGTTAATCTTCAGCTTATATTTAAACAATACAGTATGTAATTTAAGGCCCTGCATATATTCTGTTAATGACTTATATCAAAATAAATTTCATATTTATCTAGATTCTCTAAAAATGTGTTGTCCGATACTATCTGATCACAATTGCCAATACTTTACTGCAGCATAATAGAATCACGAAGCAGTAGTTTTACTGATCTTGATCTCTACTGTTTCTCAGTTTGGCCACAAATCAGCAGTGGTTAAGTATAGATGCTTAAACTGGAGGTAATGTATAGCAAGGGATGTCCAGGTTGCCACTGACTAGGTTGACACTGTTCCATTTAGACACAGAATACTTTATAAGTGAAAAATCATAGCAGAAATTTATACAAAAAATGTAAAAAAAAAAAATATTTA